CCATAAAGAAGAATGGAATCCAAATTTTATAACGAAAACAAGGCAGTGAAAACGGAATAAGATTTATAATTTATATAGTAAAAACGCTTTACTGTCCAAGCAAACTGGCGGCAAGAATGAAGAAGTGTACATAGGGGTTTTTAAGTTCGTAAATTTACGTATATTGACAAGGACATTGATGTATGGAGTAAAATCTTATCAACGATTTAATGCTATGGGTCAACTAAAGATACTGAGGAAAACGTTAAAGTGGGTTTGCATGTCAAGTTTAGCGATATACTACTTGAATTGTCGAAAAAAGATTTCAAATTTATAATGAGAGATTTAAGCGCTAGAATCGGGACAAAATATGAATACCTTAATCATGTCATTGGTAACCATGGTTTCGGTAATATGAATGACCAAAGTCAACACATTCCCTTCCCTCAATGGACTATGTGGCATCACTAATTAGAAATATTAAATGCAAACTTGTAACGACCTTTCCGGCCCTCTCTATAGCTGGGGTATAACTCAGCGAGTATACCAGGGTTCGTTATAAGAAATTAATATAATAAAAGAAGGAGACACTTGTGTTTTATGTTTTATGATAACATTTATTATTTGTCTTAAAAAAAACCTTAAAGTTATAGGTAGAAATAGATTCAAGACCGTAAGCGTTGGAAGCGTTGTAATCGTCGAAATCGTTGAAAATGTTGAGATCGTTGAAATCAACAATGTAAAACCTTGAACAGAAAAAATTCCAAATAGCTTAAAGAAATAAACCTTAGAGGAAACTCGCTAACAATACAATGCAGACATTGTCAGCTATAACCAGGCAAAGATCCCTTCCCGATGTTACGCCTGGGCACGCTTGTCAACAATCGCCAAAAGCTCGTAGACTTACATGTCTTTTAATAGTGTCGGTGACTCGTCATCCATTCCTCCATCAGCTATGGCCAAATGGAAGTCTGGATAACTGGTGAAATTACCCTACGCCAGCATAAGCCAAGCAGAAGATAATTCGACCACCATCACTTCACCCAAACCAGTTCAGCCATTCAAATTGTGTTTGTTAGTAAAGGCCAAACGAACCATCATATGCTTAGACCAACTAGTCCGAGCTTTCATTGTTGTCACTAACATAATCGACTTACCTTGAACAGAAGAAATTCCAAATAGAACGATTTGGCAATTTTGCTGCCAAATAATAACTAAAAAATATGAAATTTCCCGTTTATATTTACTATCGATGCGATTTGTGGGTTTAAATTATAACGTAAAATTTGATCCTTACAAACTATTTGTAAATCTTAACTGTCTAAGGTTATCTCAATAGCTTATTCAACAATGAAATTGCTAAGTTTATTAGCCTAAACCAATATCAAGTTGGAATTAATAACTGGTTTTCAGAAAGCAATTCTTCATCTGGTTCATATCAAACATAAATGAAGTCCAAGAACTAGTATCAAATGATATTATAAGAATGACTAACAATACTAATCTCCATTGAACATTAACTAAGAGCTTTCTATAGGGATAGTCTGATTCTTTCTCAGAAAAATGAATATGAGTTGAATATCTTTGTTAAACTTATAAAAAAATATGAATTAATGTTTTGTGATATCTCCTACATTTCGAACACATTAACGAACTTAATATGAATGTACATATATTTGTTTATAATAAATATATATTACACATTTATACATGACACTTATGTAAAGCAACTTATCTAATGTTTTTAACACAAGCAAGGAAATGAACAATGAAGTGGATTAAAAGTTCAGTTTGAAAAACCGTTGCTAATAAAAATAAAAAAATTCCAAAAGGATGCTTCAAATTTTTCTTAATTTTTTTAATACAGAAATTAATTGGACTCACCATTCAACATTGAATTTATCATTTCTGTCCTTACCCAGCGGCACCATTATGCCAGCGCTGAAAAAGTAAGCGAGGAGGTAATAGCTCTTCGTTTTAATTTTTCTTTGTTTTCGACATTTGTGTTCAACTCAGGCAATTTCGGGGTTGAAATTATAAAAGAATGAAGAAGAAAAGCAAAGGAGTATTAAGAATTTCTTGTTTTGCCTACATTGTATACATTTAGTCTGCTTTTGATTTCAGTGAAGTGCGTGCAGTGAACAAAATAAAAGCTAAAAATATAAATAAAATATAATTTGTGAATTTATCATAAACTCACTGTAAGTATATGCAAAATTAAGTAAATATATTTAAAATGATAATTGAAATTTTTGTTTTGTATTATGTAGATGCTACTGCGTCAAGAACGATTAATTGACCAATGTGCTGCGAATGCAGTCATTCTAAAGCAAGGGGTAATCAGCTGTAGTCATGTAGTCAGCTGTTTCAATTGGAAAATTTTACAATTCAAACTGAGGAGGATTTAATTCAATTTAATGAAGAAATCACTGCCGTTGAAGTAGTTGTAAGTTAAATTATATATGTTTCTTACTTTCAATTTCAACTTGTTAATATTTTCACATGTAACAATTTTATTAATTCATACATTTCTTTTCATCTATTACGTTATTTATAGACTGCATCAATGAGACGCGTTATTAAAAAACAACAAAGATTTCGTGGAATTTTGGAGAATGGTACCCAAGGCAAGAAGTCCTTAAGAGCGTTAGAGAATGTGACAGCAGCACTTTTTGGTATGGTATATTGTACATAATTAACTTTAGCGTATACAATAACATACTTTTGTATTTACAGATGCTTTAAGTACAGATGGTAAGCCGGAACAAGTGATCGAGTCGAGTCTGGAAATCTCTTCAAGGTTTTAGTAACAATTTCACAGAAAAATATTCATATATATAAGTATGTTATATTTTTTTATGTAAATATTAATATTTTAATTTTATAAAACATAAATATAAAATATAATTTATCCAAAAAAATTTATAGTATTTTATTTAAAAATCAATAGCATAGGTAAAATTTAAAAGGTAAGCGAACATGTCAGCGCTGATATGTTGCATTACAATTTCGAAAAAGTAAGCGAACATGTCAGCGCTGATATGTTGCATTACAAATTCGAAAAGGTAAGCGGGCATGTCAGCGCTGAAATGTTGCATTACAAATTTGAAAAGGTAATTGAACGATTCAGCGCTTGCCCGCAATGACATGCACGTGTTAAAGTAATTAGGAGTTTCCTTTGAATAATCAGCGCTAGGCATTACCATTCGATTTCCTCAGCGCTGAAAGTCCCGCTGGGTATTGTATACTTTTCCAATACACCTTTGCTTATCGACACAAGCAGACTCAGCTTTGTGGACGGATCTATAAAGGAACAGTGCAATGGCCCAGCGCAGAATTCTTTTGCGCTCATATTTAAAATATTAACATTTGCCAATAGCGTGTCAATTATATGCTGTACTGAATACGATAACTTTCCGTTATTCAAATCCATATTGTTCATCTGTTTCGACATATAATTTTTTTCAACATAATTCTCAACCATTTGGAAACGTTCTGATTTAGAAAGAAAAGATGAAAGTTTGTCCATAAGCATTATAAATCTTGGTGCAGGTATATTATATACCGGAGAAGTTCGAAGCAAATCATTGTTCTCTCTCGTTAACTTTATTGACTGAATCAAATCACGTTGAGTAATAAAAAGTGGAGAATTAAAAAATTCTGCCAAATTCAAAATGGTCACATTTTTCATCCTCTCCTTTATCGCAGCAAGACACTCGTTTAGGAATGAATTAATCATATATTTTTGACTTACATAAGCCAACTGCAGACAATCATTTAGAGAGTTTAAAATTGGTTTTTTGCGGTAATAAATGCAGTGTTTGAATTGTTTGAATGCAATTGGTTCCACATCGTCTAAGCGAATTTCGTAATTAAAATCAGACTCCAAGTATTTTATCTCCAAGTATAGACCAGCTCAAACTAGGGATCTGACAGCAGAATTCATCTGTTTTGTTTGACTTGGCTATGTTCAGACAATTTTGTTTGTCAGTTTAACTATTAGAAGTAGGACGCCCATATCTGAGAAGTGAATCTTAGGCAGAAGAGTGCCTGCCGTCCGGCCTGCAATTGTCCGAGGTATCCCTATGTCCAGGGGCCTATATAACTTACCATAGACACTGACGCATCAGCTAAGTCATTAAGGGAAGCTCGGCAATTTCGAGCTATAATTGATGTAACTGTGGTGCCTACCAGTAATTTAATGACAGCTTGGCTATTCGAGAAGATTGAGATTGTTTTGTCAGGTATTTATCACTTTAATTACTTTACTGAGATTTTAGAAACTCGCATAAAATGCTTTCACATTTATCAATAGAAGGAAATAGAGTATATAAAGTGTTTACTTGATTAGTTTGTTGTATATCGTCTAATCGATTAGTAAAAGAAAGTAGAGTAAAAGAAAATAAAGTTTTCTGTAAGTTGTCTTTAATGAATTATCACCAAAAGATATATTTTTCACAGATACTCGTATTATAGCAGAAAAATTATTTTAAAATCATTGACTTTTAGTTTACAAAACACTTCACAAAAAAATGTGTATGAGGTTTGTCAAGAGTTTTGCATTGGATTTAAACATCATATACCCTATAAAGTATATGTATTTCTTATAAGCTTGATCTGTCTGTCAATTAGTTTTAGTTAAAATCAGCTCCTCAATGATTTAGTTATTCGAATGAAATTTTGGCACAAATGTTTCGAATATAAACCATTAGTCGGATTGGCAGAAATGAACAGGTATATCCTGTTCGTTGCCATATGACATGAAAAATTAAAAATAGCATTTCCCCACTTTTAATAAATATATTTAAATAAAATTTGGTATACAAAAAACTTATATTCATATAAGATAATAAACAAAATTTTTTTTTAATCGGTGTAGATTTAGAAATAGCTGCCATATACACTGCCGATTCAAACACATATTTATGTTAGAAAACTTTCTTTATTTCTAAAATATTTAATTAAATAAAATTAATAATTTCAATTTAATAGACATATGTTATGTTATACAAATCGACGATTTTTTTTAGAAAAACTTTTTAATTTTTCAGTGTATTTGCTTCTAATGTAGAATTTAGTTAACTATTATGATAGAGAATATAAAAAATAATATCGATTGGCTCAGATTTGGATGTAGTTGTTTTAGAACTGGTTATTCAAATCGATCTTAATCTATGAAAAAAATTTTTAAACGTTGGGTCATTGAAATACTTTTAAATACTTACTGCCAGTTGCATTCGAATCCTTAGATGAACCACCTGTAAAACAAAAAAATAAATTCAATTTACTTGAGAGTACTGAATCAATGAACAGAGATATTAAATGAAATACGATTTATGACACTAACTCAGAGCAAAAGGAACAGCACTTCTTGTTGATTGGAAGATATTTGTAGTCCTATTGTCAGTTGCATTTGAACCCTTAGATGAACCTGCAAAAAAAAAAAATAAATCCAATTTACTTGAAAGTACTGAATCAACGAACAGAGATATTAAATGAAATACGATTTATGAGACTAACCGAGACCAAAAGGAACAGCACTTCTTGTTGATTGGAAGATATTTGTAGTGCTATAGTCAGTTGCATTTGAACCCTTAGATGAACCACCTGCAAAAAAAAAAAATAAATCCAATTTACTTGAAAGTACTGAATCAACGAACAGAGATATTAAATGAAATACGATTCATGACACTAACGACGAAATGGAACAGCAATACTTCTTGATTGGAAGATATTTGTAGTCCTATTGTCAGTTGCATTTGAATCCTTAGATGAACCTGCAAAAAAAAAAAATAAATTCAATTTACTTGAGAGTACTGAATCAACGAACAAAGACATTAAATGAAATACGATTCATGAGACTAACTAAGAGCAAATGGATTAGCACGTTTTTGTTGTTGGAATCCGAAGTTATCTGTAGTTCCATTGTCAGCTGCATTTGAATCCTTCGATGGACCTGCAAAAAAAAAAAATAATTCAATTTACTTGAAAGTACTGAACCAACGAACAAAGATATTAAATGAAATACTTTTTATGAGACTAACTTAGAGCAAATGGATTAGCATGCTTTTGTTGTTGGAATCCGAAGTTATCTGTAGTTCCATTGTCAGTTGCATTTGAATCCTTAGATGAACCTGCAAAAAAAAAATAATTCAATTTACTTGAAAGTACTGAACCAACGAACAAAGATATTGAATGAAATACGATATCCATATGTTCCAAATAGAATAAATATAGAAGAAGAGAAATGATATTGTAATGAGAATGCTGAAGTATTTGCATTAAGAAAAGAATAATTACTTCATTTATCAATTCCAAATTAATATTTTTCTGTCTTAAGAGTTGTAGACTAGTTCTAATTAATTTTAGTTGAAGAAGTGTCAGTGAAAAAAATAACATTATATTATTAATTTGTAAATAATAATATTTATATGTAAATATATTTATACGAATATGTACTATATGTTAAATTTTTGTTTTTATATTAAATATATTATATTATATTATATTAAATTTTTGTTATTTTATATTTATATTTTATATATATGTTTTTATATTTTATATTAATTATATTAAATTATAAATAATTCAAGTCTTTTTAAACAGAATTTTTTTTGTTATATTCGTTACCCATTTACCATAGCAGGCTAAACTTGGAGTCGGAAAGAGCAGTTTTAAGAATGAAGAAAGCAAACATAACGGACATCTAAATAAATCGCAAGAGATTCTTCTTAAACAGTGTTCTAAATTTTCAATGCCATGGGACACAACGAATTTAAAGTTTAGGTTTACCAAACTTTTTAAAACTGAACTAAGCAATAAAAGGAGCAGGGAGGATATCAAACAAACCTATCAGCTGATGAACAACATGATGCGATTGTGTTCACTGACGATTCGCTTACGGAGAAAGGTGTCGGAGCGGGCATCAATAATAATAATACAATAGTAATACTATTATGCCATAATAATAAAAACCCTTTAACAACTTAACTAAATATTGAATCTTGAGGAAAAGAATAATGGAAGACAACTCACCAACAACTGGTAAGGTGTCGCAGCGAGCATCAATAATAATAATACCATAGTAATACCATATAATAATACCCCTTCATCAACTTAACTAAATATTAAATCTTGAGGAATAAGATAATGAAGAACAACTCACCAACAACTGATAAGCGACAGTTAAAAACAGAAGTATGTGAAGGTGACTTTATCTTCCTCGATTAAGGCCTGACACGTGTTGTTAAAGCCACTGATTGTAATGAATTATGAGTTTAGTAACAAACTTGCATTGCACTCGTAATGACATCTATAAGTAATGTTTTATCTGATCTATTTGCAATGGTCTATCTGATAAATTAGTGTAGGGCGCATGAAAGTTTGCTTATATATCACTCATATAAGCCGCAAAGACATTATATACATTATATCTACTATAACAGTTTAGTGACGTACTTTTTGTGCTGCATATATATACTAATATTGAAAACGATTCCCAATATTAATTCTTATAATAAGAGACTTTACACTTGCAGAATATGTAATTGATATCATTAGTTTTTCATTTTGTTAAATTTTATACCATAAAATCTTACTTAAATGATTTCTAAATTTTTTTTTAGAATCGGTGAATAACAATTATCAAATGTTATATTATTCAAATAAACGCAATAGCATTGCTATATATAATCTCAACACGATAATGCGAACTAATAAACCCCAACATACGAGTATATGATTTTGTTGATATTTTAAAAATTCATTTAATTTTTGTAAAAGTTACTAAAAAAACCATTTATATTAACCAGTGCTAAGTTTCACGAACAAGCACAGTATAGTGAGAACTAACAATTGTAACGAATTGTAGCGAACATTAACGAACTTAATATGAATGTATATATGATATATGAATGTCTATAGGTATATGAATGTTTATAATAAATATATATTACACATTTATACATGACACTTATGTAAAGCAACTTATCTAATATTTTTAACACAAGCAAGAAAATGAACAATGAAGTGGATTAAAAGTTCAGTTTGAAAAACCTTTGCTAATAAAAATAAAAAAATTCAAAAGGATGCTTCAAATTTTTATTAATTTTTTTAATACAGAAATTAATTGGACTCACCACACAACATTGATTTTATCATTTCTGTCCTTATTGTATACTTTTCCAATACACCTTTGCTTATCGACACAAGCAGACTCAGCTTTGTGGACGGATC